CTATTGATATTAATAAACCGCAGATCAACAAGAAATCAGATGAAATATTTGAATCCCAAATAAAATCAGAAAATAATAATCGAGTCACAATCCAAACGGAGAAACAAAATTCTCCTGAATATAATATTTATAATCAAATATACCTGGTTGTGCCAAAGAGGGATTTTCGTTTAAATAACCCGCGTTACGGCGAGTGGCGGGGGCAGATCTAAAAGATAAAGATAACACTTAAGTCCTGAGAGGAGCTGGTTGTATCTGCCCATTCCACCGGCGCCCACTGGCCTAACACCATCTCCAGCACGAGAAGCCACCACGGAGGGCTTTCCAGGTAAAAGATGTGGGCTAGCATATAGACGGTAAGCTGTTCAGAAGGTATACGTATAATATATCGTTGAAAAGCGGAGAATTTTAGAAACAATAATATCAAATGAATAATGTTGTATAAGGCAACGGAGAGTGACGAAAACAATATAAATAGTAATTTCAGAAAACTAACACTATTTAACGTAAATCACATGTTTCCAAGGAAATTAAATGAAATTTTCTTTCAAATGTATACTTTTAATTTTTTTCTAAGTTTGAGAAAAAAAAGTATTTAAAATCCACCAAATCAAGCCAATGCCATTGTTTAAAATACTATTCCATTGTACTAGTGTGAAAGAAGTGAAATATAAAAATATTTCATGGATATGTTTATAACCTTAAATATATTTACTGTAGTTTAATAACTGTAGATATGATATATATTTAAATAATTAGGTGTCTATTGGCTGTTTATTCGAAAAAAAATCATCTAGTAACCTTTTAGAAAATTAAATTGCTGAATAATTTGATGAATTTTCCCAACATTATCTTATAATTAGTGTGACAACTTTTGACCTATCCATGACAGGCAATGAAAATATCGTAATTTCATTTTATTAAACTTTACAATGGAAAATAACAGTTTAATAACTAATAGTTCTACAAACTATAATAATTTATAGCAAAAATATTTAGATGCACTTTCAAATCTCTCTAGGCATATATGAGCCTTTCGGTTGACAGAATGACTAACACCAATTCAACATTCTTTACTATTAATTTTAGTGATGTTTCTAGTGGCAAAATTTATACCTTTATTCACAGTTCTATATTTTAACACTCTGTAATCAACTTTCTCACTGCCTGTATAGATTTAACTTTTCCAATTAGAAATATCACTAAAACGACATTACTCAAAAATGTTGAAATTGGAGTTAGTCATTCTGTCAACTTAAACTCTCAGAGACTGAAGTTATGTGATTTATAAAACTAGATTTTTATTGTCCACCGTCAATATAATAGACAGACTTTTTGTAATTTTAATGGTCTTAATGATTTGTTATCTGTAACTTTAATTTAGCTCAGTTTAAAATGCTCTTCAAACATTTGAAAATAGCCAAACATTGCCAGAAAATGATTTCTATTCAAAGTAGAGGGGTAAGTGAAAGTTGTGTGTTGCGCGCAGCAGATTTTTATAAAATTGTTTGTATTAATTGTTGTAATAATTCCCCTCTCCTTTACATAGTGATCTACCGTCCTCCCCTTGTTCCATTTGATCCGTCCTTAGAACCAACCCTACTCAACTTTGTTCCCCTCTATCCTAGAATAATCATCGCCGGTGATCTCAATACCAATTTCCTTTCTAATTCCAAAGACAAAACCTATATAGAAAACCTATTTTTTTCCCTCTATCTCTTTATTGTTCCTTTTTATCCTACTCACCACACCCACAAGGCCGAACTTGGTTAGATTTCTTTATTATAGACTCCGAACTAAATCTCCTCTCCTCTTCTCAACTGCCAGTATCCTTCTTATCGTCTCACGACATGATCCTAATAACATATAATATCCAAACCCCTCTGATTCATCCGAGAACCTTCACTTTCCGTCAGATAGACACTCTCGCCCGTGAAAAAATGCTACCTGGCCTTGAAACCTTAGACTTGAACGAAATATATTCCTGTTCCTCCATCGACTCCATGGTTGAGATCCTGACTTCCAATCTCCTCAATATCCTTAACACCCATGCTCCCATAAAAACCTCAACCTTTCGCCGCCGGCCTGCACCTTGGATGTGTCAAGAAATCAAGGATCTGCAGAAGAGGCATGATTATGCTGCCTGTAGACGCTTTAGACGTACCAGGCTTACAGATGACTATCAAGCGTTTAGGGTGCTCCGCAATTTGACACAAACAAGAATTCGGCGAGCTAAAGCTTCCTACTTCCATGAAGCCCTTTCATCTGCTCCAGATCCCAAATCTAAATGGCTAATCCTTCGCAAACTTTCCCTTTGTGAACCTTCCAGATCCCCTTCCTCACTGGTCTTTTCCGTTTCACCTGAAGATTTAAATGCACATTTTATTTCTGCCTCCTCTACCTCTTCTCTTCACTCCTCTTCAAACTTTGCTCCTGAGTCATCATTTAATGATGATGACTTTTATTTCTCCAACATTTCCCCGACTGACTTACTAACCGCAGTAATGAAATCCCACACCAATTCCATAGGACCAGATGGTATTCCTGTCAAATTGATAACATTATGTCTCCCCGAAATCCTCCCAGTTCTCCTTTTCATTTACAATTTCTCCGTACAGAACTCAATATTCCCTTCCTCTTGGAAAAAAGCAATTGTACTCCCTTTAAATAAAAAGCCTAATCCATCCTCTCCCGAAGACTTTCGCCCAATCTCAATTCTTTCCAATCTCTCAAATCCCCTAGAAAGATTGGTGCAATCCCAAGTTTCCAATTTCCTCGAAAAGTCCAACCAACTTGATCCTCTCCAATCTGGTTTCCGTCCCGGCTACTCCACACAATCCGCCTTAATCAAAATTACCAATGATGTTCAGACTGCAATAGATAATAAACAATTAACTGTCCTTATACTTCTTGACTTCTCTAAAGCCTTCGATTCCATTAACCATCCCATCCTTTTCAACAAACTAAAATCACTCTCCTTCTCCAATAGCTCCATCTCTTGGTTCCAATCTTTTCTCTCACAACGCACCCAAGCAGTCTCCATTCCTAATCAACCACTATCTGCCTACCTGCCTTTATCCTCTGGAGTTGCCCAAGGATCTAGCATATCTCCTCTGCTTTTTAGTTCCTATATTAATGACCTCCATGACTCAATTCTCCATTGTTCCCACCACCTTTATGCAGACGATTCTCAAATATACCTATCCTTTTCTCCTCCTGAGCTATTGGTAGCATTTACTAAGATCCAAGCAGACCTAGATCGAATCTATGCCTGGGCAAACTTAAACGGATTAAGGATAAATGCTTCAAAAACTCAGGCCATTGTCATTGATTCCAAGCCCTTCCTTAGATCCTATACCGACTTTCCCATACTAAACCTTGGTGACCAGCCAATCTCCTTCTACTCCTCTGTAAAAAATTTAGGACTATTTATTGATCAAACCCTCTCCTGGAGTCACCATATTTCTCACATCTCCCGACGGACAGTTTCTACCCTCAAACTATTCCATCGCTTCCGCCATCTCCTACCTCAACATACGCGTAGACTCCTCGTTTCCTCTCTCATCTTCCCCCACTTTGACTACTGCTGTGTGGTGTATGATGGACTCTCGGTGGAGTTTCGCGACAGACTGAAAAGATTAATGAACAATTGCGTGAGATTTGTAATTGGTGCCCCGAGATACTACCATGTCTCTCACCACTAGACTGAGTTAGAGTGGCTCTTCCTCTCCATTCGAAGACAATATTTCCTAGGTACATTCCTCTATCATATCATCAACAATCATCGTCCTTCCTACGCCTACAACCTTCTCCAATTCAAGTCCTCAGTCCACTCCCTCTCCACAAGATCTCGACCTTCTGACCTTTACAGTCCTTCTCACAGATCTGCCTCGTTCCAAAACTCCTTTATTGCTCGTTCTGTTAGTTTCTGAAATTCCCTTCCTATCAAAATTCGACATTCTTCATCCTTATCTACATTCAAAACCCTCCTATTCCAATTCCTGTCCCAAAAACAGTCAGATACCAGCTAACCTTTTATATAAAATTACATATTATTTATAATAACATATTCACATATAGCTCATAACCTAAATACTTATTATAGATTCAACTTTCTTTTTGTCTTTTCTTTTTTTTCAACAGAAACAGATTTTACTGTTAAGAAGAATTTACATTTTTTTTCTGTATTTTTTATTTTTTCTAAAAGGGTTTATTTATATTTTAACATTGTACATAGTTTTAAGTATCTTAGTATGGTTTCAAGAGTTTTTTTGTATAGATTTTTTTATTTTATTTTGTATATAGTTTGTATAACCAATATTTTTTTTATTTTTTTTTTAATGATCTATCTTAATCTGAACTTTTTATGTTTGTTTTTATCTGGCCAGATATAAAATTTTAATTTCTGTACTTTTTTGTTATGTTGAAGAGACTTCGTCCCAGAATAAAATAATTTTTCTATTCTATTCTATTCTATTATTAAAATAAATACTCGCGAGATCTACAAGAAACATTAAACGAAAACTGTGCTACAATGTTGTTTTGTTTCTCTAAATAAATATAAATTATCGTTTTGTCTATTTATGTAATACATTTATATATTACTTAAAGTAAGTGATTTTGAAATAAAGAATTTAAAAATAATCTTAATATCAATTTCATTCTTTTCGCTTCAGGTGTACTCTGTAATTTTCAAATCATTTTATTCTAGGTTGCTAGTCTTATTTATTTATTTATCTACTTGAAATTATCTTCAATGAAAAGTCAAAAACACAGAAAAGTATTGTCTTCAATATGTTAAACAATAAAACAAAATAAGCAGCTCTAAAATATTTAAATAAACCTTCAGTGACAGGCTCGAAAAGCAATAGGTAGGTTTGGCGATCTAGTCCTTACGTCACGATTCAAGCCCCCCTACTACATATTTCTAAGGGAACCTGGTAGTTCTATAGACCTTGGTTCTTACCGTTCGCTAAAAAAAAGGACCCGTTCCTTTGGACCTTTTCCTCCGTGAACGACATATCTCTAGTACCGGCAGATTTCAAGTGAAGGTTATATGTGATTGTTCCTATTGGTTTAGTTGGTTATGATTTACCAAAAAGAATCGAAATCATTTTAGTAATAATTAATTCAACTGGATGGAAAAATGTTATAGGAATAGTTTCGACATTTTAAACATTTGTTCTGATTTTAAACCTTTGAAATTCATGGTTGTTTTCATTTTTTTATTTTTTTTTTGTTACAAGAACTTTCCATCTCAAAATTCTGAATAAACATGGAAGTTCTTGGTATGTAGAATGGTATATTAATATGCTTAGTTATACTTGTTGGTTATCTTTCACCACTTAATTGAAAGAACAATTCATTTCATTGCTCACTGAAATGGTTAGTCTCTTTAAGAACACTAGTTTACTCATTAAGGACTTAGATTATTCTCGTTTTTGATCTGTGATTTCTTAATTATTATTCTTTCTGAATTGCATTTGATCCTGTGAAGGATACCATTATTTCTTGGTTCAACTCCAATTTTATCTATCTGTCTTTGTATGTACACATCTTAATAGTATCCTCTTCAATAAATCATCACATTGCCATAAATGCCTGTCAAAAGTGGTCAAGATAACTTTCAAGATATCCTTTTTTTGTTACGTATTTCTGATGAAATTATATGTTATCTTCTACTTAGAAAATGCTGGGCATGCTGTTCTTTATAGCTATGGTCATTTTTTGGATTCCTTATTTATAAATTTTTACCACATTAATCAGAGTTTCTCAAATATTAATGTTCTTTCCAATTCAATTGATATTCAGGTGAGACTTGAATCATTTGATTAATTATACTAAATATTATATATTTGGTGATGCCTTGTGATTTCTTTTCTAGGCGATTCAAGAAGAACATTCTTCTATTTACGAGTTAATCAATATTGATAACAAAGTTCAAGTAAAATTGCTATTGGTATTTTCAGCAATTTGCAAAGAAATAGAACTCCTAAAAAAAGAATTGGAGGCAATTTTTTTATGTAAAATCTTGGAGTATGGTGAAAATAGTAAGTGTAAATCACCTTAATATTAAGTATAGTTTTATTTTCAATTTTGGAAGTACTTCACAAGTTTCCTGTCCATGTCCATCCAGATGACACATTATTCAAGGAATGCTAAAAATAGCTGGGTTTGCGTGAAACATAAAAGAAACTGATAATCAAACTTCTAATTACTTTTGATTCAACGAGGCATCATTTTCACTTCTTCCTATAAATATAACAATAAATACAATTAACTATATTGTAAAGTTAATAAATAAACTGACATCAAGAAAAATTTATTATAAACTCCAAGTGATAACAAACTGAGAAGTTACAACAACATATTAAATCTTGACAATGTTGCCAACAAATATTCTAATACACATAATATAATTATAAAACCTAATGAAATATTATTACTTAAATATATGTCAACATTCTCTTTCTCTCTCTTTTTTTTTTTTTTTTTCCTTCTCCCCCTCACCTGTGTACCTTAAGGCAATCCAATATCAGCTGTACATCCAATTTCCTAACTGAATAATTTTGTCACAAATTTAATTAGGGCTCTGTCACCAGGATTGGTAACCGAGCGGGCAGGCCTGCTCCCACTTTGATCCAAATACTTAAGGCAAAATTCAGTCTATTAATTTGATTGGGGCATTAATTTATACCTACACTAATGGGCTGCCTGCAACTGGAGGGTTGTTTCCACCCAACAGGACTCCAGTAACTTCCTACCTACCTATGGTGGGCCTATATTACAGTTTATAAATAATGCTATTTGTAAATCTTATGATCAAAATATTAAATAATACAATAATCTGGGTTTTATGTACATGGCATCACTGGTTTAACATCTGTCTTGCCCTTTATTCTTGGAGTATCCTCCTAGTATATTTCTTAAAGGGGTCAAATATATCGGGTGTCGCCAGAAGTCTGTCCAGGGACTGAGGAGGCCATTCCATCAAGAAGTACTCCCCTGCCAATGCTTGTTGGGCACTAGTGTACATCGGACATTCCAAAAGCATGTGTCTAGCATCCTCAATAGCATCACACCAACAATTACGATTTTCTCTGCTATAAAAAAAGTATAACTTTTCATTTATGTCTCCATGGCCTGTGAGGAGCTGAACAGCCCAGAAATCCGTCTCCACCCAGTCATTCTTAATTCTTCTGCTGATATCTGGGAAGAACTCTTGGGTCAGTCTTCCAGTCTCGCAAGCATCCTACCTTCTCTGCCATCCAGAAAGGACTAGCTCTTCGGTCCTGTTAGCTACTTCATCGTACCTCCCGCTGGGGCTCAGAAAGCAGCTTGTTCCCACATTTGCTGGCAGTCCCCTCTTTATTGTATAATTGGCTGTAGAAATTTGTATTTTAAGGTCTATCGGCAATTTTCCTGAATCACTTGCGAAGCCGAAGTGGGTGTCTTTCTATACGCTCATGTCACCAGTAAGAGAGACGTTCTTTGAGCTTGCTCCAATAGATTGATGTCTGACTGTCTTAGTTTCTGACCCCAGGCTGGCACGGCATATAAAGTGAAAGGCAAGAAAGCAGCCTTATATAGCGTTTCCCGGCAACTATATTTGGGACTACAGGTGGTTCCTGCTATCGTGTGGAAACAGCTTTAAGGAAGAACAGTTCTGCTCTTTATCTCCTTTAAGTGGTTAGTGAAATTACACCTCTGGCCCAATAGTACTCCCAAGAACTTCATCTCCTGGGATGGTTTTATTATAACATCTCCCTACTTTAATCTGGGAAGAAACCTCACCATTTTTCCATTCAAAAATAGGAGTTGAGTCTTCTGACAATTTAACAAAAGTTTATTTTCCTGACACCATTGCAAGACAATGTCAGTGACTTCCGCTGCCCTTATTTCCAAATCCTGTCGTGGTTTTGCCTCTATTCCAACAGCAAAGTCGTCCACGTAATCAGATGGCATGTACCCAGCAAGCAGCTCTCAAATTAACAAGTAGAGGGTTCATGTTTATATTTACTCATAGGAGTCCTAAAACTGATCCCTGAGCACAACCCCGCTGGACCGGGCTCGTTATTCCCCTTCCCGGTAGTTGATAAAAGACAGAGCACTTTGATAAAAATGATAGTATGAGCCTGTATATATTTCTGGAACACTTTAATTTCCAGATCCAAGTTCCAAGTCGAGAATCAGTTATACAGGCACTAAGTCATTTCCATGAGATCAGTCCGGCTTTTTTCTTTTCAGAATTCACAGTGTTCATTGTTTTCCGTGGATTGGTTACCAGCCCAACACACAACCCCCAACCTGGAGGACCAGTCTGGCTGAAATTAATCCTTCTTCGAACTGCAAGCAAGGCTCCCCTCTTGCTTCAGGGCCTGAGATGGTATTGCAGCCTCTACTGACCTGAGACGGACTTTCTTGTCACCCCATTCAGGTTACAGGAGGGTCCCTCATCCCAGAGGAAAGAAGGGGAAGGGTTCTCTTTTAGTCGCCTCTTACGAAGAATAGGTCAGGGAAATTCTAGGCCACATCCCTGCAGCGCCAATTACAACTATTCACATATGAATATTTTTAACAATTTAAATATTTATAAAATAAAAATCACTTTTGATTGATTTCCCAACACTTCCTATCATATCCGGCCCTGGTGCCATCCCCGGTCAGAGTTGTCCCATAGCCAGCTCCACATCTTCCTCTTCACATGGAAGCACATCTTCGGTTTGCGGATGTTTACACATAACGATCCTCTTGTGTGTGTGGTCTGAAGTTAGTACAAACTATCTAGAACAAAATAAACTATAATGTTATTATAAGTCCTAATATTATCATTTATAATGGTAAAACTATTCATTCTTGAACAATCAAAAAAAGATTTCTTAGTTTTAAACAATGTTCTACATACCAGTATAAATCATTGAAAACATATTTGTTTTCTATATGTAATATTATTACATTATTATGTGCTATTTGTTTTTTATCGTCAGAATTCCTATCGGTATATTTACTTAAATACTTACTCTAAAAGCTTCATATGTAAGACAATGAAACAGAAAATGTTATAAATCTTCTGTTTCCCTTGTATTACAAATGGGGCATTCGGCGCTTCTATCTAGAAAACTAATTTGAAAATCGTAAGAAGTAACGTTTAAGTTCTCCGGCACAGTCTTAATTGGCTAATCATTCTATAATTTCTTATCGGCCTCTTAATTTTTAGATAATATCCACCCTTTGTGAAGCTACTAATCTTTCTAAAATTTTGATTGAATTATGAATTCAATATAGATTGAATATCTAGGAAAAATTTATTACATTTTAACTTTTTAATAGCTCCTATGCCTAGGACTCCACCTGGACAAATGATTCACTTGGAACCCCCATACCACATTGAAAGGACTAGAAACCGCCCGACGTTTTCAACTACTGCAGCACTTCCTAGACAAATGCACTAAACTTCTAACTATTTACATAAGACTCATATACACTGACAGGCAAAAAATTCCACCCACTTGATTTTTTCATCTAAAAATATTTCTGCTTTGGATTGGTCTATTGTTTTTAATGAATAAATAGGTAATCTTTTTGTTTGTTTTCAATTAGGAATGTTAATATAGAGGACAATAACACTTAATCCTTAATTCAATGAAATGATTCTAGATTCCAATGTTTACTTTCTATGGAATCAAAATGTTTATTCATTATCATTAGTTCAGTGCCGTTTCTTGCAGCACATTTCTTAGTCTCTGGCTTATAATTTTTTCAATATTAAGTTTAAAAATGCCTCTTAGTGCTGAGGATGTTGCACGTGGTGTGGTATTTATTGATGATGGACGTTCCATTAGATATGCAGCTAATGCCATCGGAGTTCCATATGAAACTTTACGAGACGCTGTCAGACGTTTTCAGGATACTGGTTCTTACAATAGAAGGCCCGGTTCTGGTCGGCCTAGAGTAACAGAACCACGAGATGACCGGTTTTTGACTTTGAGAATTTTATGAAACCAGCACCTTACCGTTGTTCAAGCGATTCATCAGCTCGAAGAAGTTCGAGGTGTGCAAATTTCTGAATGTACCGCTTAGAGAAGATTAAATGAATATGGATTAATGGCTTTTCGTCCAGTAAGAGGACCAGAGTTGACCAGAACTCACAGAGTAACACGGCTGGCTTTTGCTCGAGAACACAGCCATTGGACTATGGACGAATGGAGTGCTATACTTTTTATAGATGAGTCAAGATTTGCTCTTTGATCTCCAGACGGGCGTGAAAGGGTGTTGAGAAGAAGAAATTAAAGATATACAGCCTGTAATTTTTCCCAGAGGCAACTTTTCCAACGTGGTTCCTTCTCTAGCAAAAGCCAGCCGTGTTACTCTGTGAGTTCTGGTCAACTCTGGTCCTCTTACTGGACGAAAAGCTATTAATCCATACTCATTTAATCTTCTCCGTGCGGTACGTTCAGAAATTTGCACACCTCGAACTTCTTCTTCTTCGAGCTGATGAATTGCTTGAACAATGGTAAGGTGCTGGTTTCGTAAAATTCTCAAAGTCACAAACTGGTCATCCCGTGGTTCTGTTACCCAGTTTCCCGAAAATGCCTGACGGCGTCTCGTAAAGTTTCATATGGAACTTCGATGGCATTAGCTGCATATCTAATGGAACGTCCATCATCAATAAGTGCCACACCACGCGCAACATCCTCAGCACTAAGGCACATTTTTAAACTTAATATTGAAAAAATTAAGAGCCGGAGACTAAAAAATGTGCTGCAAGAAACGGCACTGAACTAATGATACTGAATTAACATTTTGATTTCATTGAATTAAGGATTAAGGGTTATTGTCCTCTATATTAACATTCCTAATTGAAAACAAACAAAAAGATTACCTATTTATTCATTAAAAACAATAGACCAATCCAAAGCAGAAATATTTTTAGATGAAAACATGAAAAAGTCAAGCGGGTGGAATTTTTTGCCTGTCAGTGTATATTACTATAATAAGGCCTATTTGGACTTATGGGATCGAGCTTTGGGACTCCACTAAACCATCAAATTCCTCTCGTACCCAATCCATACAATCCAAAATCCTCAATGCTCCATACTTTGTCACAAATTAAATCATCCATAATGACCTTAATGTACCATATGTTTCCGATTTAGCTCAATTCAGATACTTATCCTTCCATAATAAACTTAACCGTCCACGGTCAAATATCGGGATCAGGTCCCCGATCTACTCCTTCTCATATTATATCACGGTCAACTATCTCTACACCAGTATAAAATATTTATTATTTTAGAATTTAATCCGAGATTATGAAGCTTTGGCCACAATTTTGTATGATCCAATGAATCGAATGCCCGTTTGAAGTCAACAAATGTCCCAAAAACTTACATCAGTTATTAATTATATTTAAATTAAAATCGAATTCTTTAATGGCAATTATTTTACAAATAAAAAAGATGAATTACTATTGTTCTTTTTATGGCTCCTTGATTCAGTCTCAATAGTAGGTCTGATCACAAGTGGCTTATACTGCACAATCTTGTGTTTTAAATAACATATACATTCACTTAAAACTGGTCTTCAAAAATGGTTATACTGGCCTGACTCCGGACAACATGTTTACTGGAGCATGCTTTGGAAAGAATAGACTGGTGCTTCTCGACCCACAGCCAAATAATGACTGGGACAGGTTCACTGGATGGAGATCTGGCACGAACAAACAACTGGTCCTTGATATGTTCGTAATTGTATGAGGGCTGGATGAGAATTTATAAGAACATGAATGTGAAATTTTTTGAGCAATGAACTAATGTATTATTATGGTATAAAATTATACATAATAATAATATTCTTAATACATATTTTTAGGATGCTTATTCCAAATTTTTTAAATGTTTATGTATTTATTTTCAGTTACAGATGATATAAATATTGAAGAGTCCCAAATTGCTATTACACAATTTCTTCCTGATTTATTAGATATACTGAATTTCGTAAGGAGATGTCGACAAGTTTTGATACATTTTCTGAGGCAACTGTTTTCATCGTTGGAATATGCTTGGAAAAAGGGTTCTCATAGTATAATGTATTTAAAATTCCAGGTATCACATTATTTATTTATCTTTCATATGTTTATTTATTAATAATTTAAAGTATTAAACTTGTCTGCCAGGGTCATTGCAGTTTATTAAGTTGTCAGCAATCCACCAAATTGGGCAGCAACCTGTAAAATAAAGTATTTGTATAGTATATTTTCCGTTTTTTATTTATTTATTTTTCTCTTGGCATTACAGATCATATAGATCTTTTGCCACCTTAACAAGCCTGCTCCATCTCTGCTTGTCTTGGGCTATCTCTTTCCATTTATATGCATGCAGCTCTATTGCATCTTTGTTGATTCTATCTATCCATCTGCTTTCTGGCCTTCCACGTGGTCTTTTGCCTTCTATTGAGACATTCATTGTTACGTAGAGGCTTCCAGATGGATTGGATACATGCCCTTTTTTATTTATTTTTTTTATTCCCTTCCTCGCCGTTAAGGCTATACGGGATTTTCCCGGGCCAGGGGGTGTGAGTGGGGATTTAAAAGACTCCCCCGGCACCGGGACGCGAACTCGTGACTATTTTCATATCTTTGATTCATATATCAGGTTGCCGGGCAACGGCGGTGCAGTGTGCACGCTTTAGCCCATTCGGCCACCCCGCCCTAGAGTAGCTTAATATATGTGCTAGTGGACGGTGCTGAGACTGTCGGTGTGTCCCTGGCCTGATCGAAGCTCTATTTTTTAAAATTCTAGCTTTGAAGAGGATCCCATTGTTGACTTATAAAAAGAAATTACCAGGATCGAAACGTCAATAAACATAGAAGAAATGAACATTCAATAGTTATTAAATAAATAATAAATGACCTTATTCCCAATTAAATAGTTAAGTTTATATATATATATATATATATATATATATATATAATATTAATTTATTGTGTTAAATAAATTTAATTAATTCATTTTTTGTCTTATTATAGGAAGTTTTCAAATATTTGGATGATTTATTTATAATATTCATAACATTAGATGTTGGATTATCTTTCTATAATGAAGGCAAAATCAGTAGGGATTTAAATTTACTGCTGCAGCATATAAAATTATTTCCAAATGATTCTGGAAAGGTACAGATAAATAAGGTTGTACAGGATATCATTAATGAATTGTTTTCAGGAAGTATATTTCAGGTAGTGAATCAATCATCTTTTGTAATTTTTCATTATTGTTATTTTAAGAGGACTTTGTCCAAGAAAAAGTTTATTTTCTATCCTATATATATTATATAGAGTATAACAATATTTTGAATAGCATATTTTTTAACATTTTTTTTACAATTAACTTATATTTTTCATATGAAAATTCCGGTTTCATATTTACACACTTGGTACTTATATGTGGGGATTATTATTAATCAAATATTACAGCATGTTATTACTTTTAAAATATTGTTTTTTAAATAAGTAATGATAATTTAATTTATGATACATATCATTAGTAGTATATTAGTCAAATTTTATTATTGCATGATTAACATTTATGTTGGGTGTTTATATGTATTCATTTTTTAACAATTTCATCTTATTTTTTTTTTATTACTTATTTATTGAAAAATATTACAGTCTGTCTCAAGAACATTTATAATAGTGTTCAGAGATCACATTCACACTCTATGTACAATAAATAAAATAAATTATACAGAAAAATAATATATATACAATAAATAAGAATAAAATAACCTAAAAATAAATAAATAAAAAGAGTATATATATACCTATATACAATATAATCTTATTTAAATTAATTCATTTATGATTACACAGACTATCCCTGGCACTGCTCAGCTTTTACTGCATATTATTTGGCCTTTGTAATTGTTTATTCAAGTTAACTATCTCCCTTGTATTTACTTCTCCTATATTAAGTTTCTTAATTAGTTTAATTATTTATAATCATAGTTACTCTTCTTTCTTTTCGTTATTTGCAAACAGGTTTTAGTAATGTTATATGTTTATACATATTATCAGTTCTGTTTTTAATCTATTAATAATATCTGCATAATGGACAATTGAGTTTTTTCATATCTGTTGAAATTTATAGTTTGCTTTATATTTTTGGTTATGTGTATTCTTTCTAAAGTTCGTACAGTATAACTAGGGGGAAAAACTTAAACATCAAAAACATCCAGAAAAAATAATATATATATATATATATATATATATATATATATATATATATATATATGAAACTTATAGGAAATAGTTTATTGCCAATGAGGGGGAGAAGGACAGAAAATTGATATTTGTTTTATTTTTTTTAGAATATCTCAAGGTTTCAACTATAAAGTTTTTCACCAAAGATTAGTCAGTACAACATTAAATTACTTTAAAATTTCTATAAAATGGTCCTATAATCTTTTTTATTTATTTTATTTTATTGAAGTATTATTATAAGTTTCTTTACTTTGGTGATTCTAAAAATTCATTGACAACAGAATTATATTTAATATCAATCAATTGGGAAATTTGTGATAATAATATAAAGTTTGGATTGACATTGATTTTATATAATTGATAAGTACTAGCCGACCATTAATTCTATAAAGAAGTTAGTATTAACCACGGCCTGGTTTCACGCAGGCAAACAGAAAGCTTAAGTTTTGTATTTTTTAAGTAAGTCAGGTTTTTTTGTGAAAAGAAAGTAATTACTAAAAAAATATAAACTAAAAATTTAGATTAAAACCATTCCTTCATAATAAACCTAGATAAAATTTTCTTCAAATGCAAGTAGACTGTTTTTTTTAAACTATTTAAATGGGTCTTTTAAGTTGTTAAACCTGTAGTAAGTTCAGTTTTTCATAAAATCATGGATTATTCGCAATTTTTTTCTATAAATTTCTAACTGGACTACAGATGACCTTTTGCAAGGTCAGGTAATTCAAATTTATTTTTTCTATTGTTAGGTATGTATCAGTATGGCCTCTACCATTAAACAATGCGTGCCTCCTTTGTGACTTTGTGCTATTTTAACCAATTTCATACTCAGGGGTTTAATTTTGTGAGTAATATACCTTTCTCATTATTAAAACTACTATGTGGTGTGTTAACAGCATCTACAGTCCATATGGCATTAAATAGTTTACAGTTGCAACTGAGCTAGTGGCAAGGCATTAAAACCGAGTTCTGATAAGAGGCTACTTTTCTGCATCCCCCCACTGCTACTGTTGCTCCCCACCAATCTCCTCTCTACCGCTCATCTGCTTCAGTTTTATTCTGTACTTCAATATGGCAACGTGTCCATTATGCAAATCAACAATCACAAGGAAAGATAAAACCACCATAGCATGTTTAACTGTAAAACTATATACCACAGCAAATGTGTCATTATTTCTGATACTAACATATTAAAGAAAAAGCCATTGTGTTGTTGCTCTTGTGAGCCACAAATCATACTAACTACTAAACAGATTACCAGTAATTCAAGTACTAGCATAGAAGAGAATTTCTCAGTAGTTCTAGCCGAGCTAGGCAAAATTACTGATGATATATAAGATATCAAAATCACCGTTGTTAAACAAGTAAGTATGACATTTGAAAACTCATAACGGCTCAAGGCGATGGGAGAACGTTCCAAAAGACATGAGGAGCTTATTGAAAAACTATTAATGGAAAATAATAACATAAAAAAAAATTAGAAATATGGAGATTAATTTAAATTGTGCTCAGCAGACCCAGTTTTCCCATTTGCTCGTGTTCAGAGAGGTACCCTCAAAGACTGGGGAAACCCCCAAGGGAATAGTTTTGTCCGTCGGAGGGGTCCTGGGTGTGAAGTATATAACTATATTGTACTCCCACATTTTTTTCATCAATCTGCCTGAGTGCAGAGATCTGGTCAATGGTTGGTCTATTTCTTCGAAAACCTCATTGGTATTTGCCAACGGCCCTTTCATAATATGGCACAAGTCGATTGTATATTAATGCCGAAAAAAATTGTTATGCGACATTAAGCAGTGTGATACCTCTGTAGTTGCTCCATTTTGTTAAATCACCTTTGCATGCTTTCTTCCTTCCATATCCTTTCTATGAGTGTGAAGCTCTCTCAACATGTTAGGACCCAATTATTTGAAGAGTTTGGCATTTATATTGTCCATGCCTAGTTATTTGTTTCTCTTCAGTTTACCTATCACTTCTTCCAATTCTTCTAGTGTTTGAGGTATTTCTTCTTCCCATCCATATTCTGTTTCACTATGTGGGATCATTACTGTTCCATTTATGTTGCCTTAGTCACCAGTTAATAACTATTGGAAGTGTTCCTTCTATCTCTGAAGAACCTGTTTATTCAAAGTCAACAGTTGACCTTTGCTTTTCACCCAATTATTCATAGGTAAGTATCCTTTCTTGATGGATCCTATTTTCTGTAAAACTTCCTGCTTTCTTTCTTATTGGCCAACTCCTCAATGTTCTTGAACTGCTCCTCCAATGTCTGGTATTTCTTCTTCATGACTGTCTTCTTCGCCTGTTGTCTTGCTTCGCGATATTCCATTTCTTGCTGTCTTGTTTGGTGCTGCAAGCACTTATGTCAAGTGGCGATCCTTTTTTCGATAGCTTCCTTGCATTCATCATCGAACCATCCATTTCTTTTTCTAGGTTCTATGCTTCCAAGATTTTCTGGACTCTTCTAAGTTATAGTTGAGATTATCCCCTCCATTTTGTTCCACTTATCATCAATAGCCTTCATCCATTTCCAGGTGATACTCATGTATTTTCTTATCCATATTTACCTTAAACTGTATTGTTGTTTCTTCATTCTTTAACTTCTCCGTATCCCACTTTGTCTTAGGTAGATAGTGAGATATCTTTACAGTTCTTAATCTTCGTTTAAATTTCATTAATACTGGCTAATGATCTGAATTAATGCAAGGTCCCCTATAGCTTCTAACATCCCTTGTAATGCTTTGATGCCTATTATCGGTACAAAATGGTCTATTTTATTAGCATTTTTCCCACCAGGAGTTCCCCATGTCTTTTTTGTGAATATTCTTGTGCGTGAATACAGTGCTCATTATTGTAGACATCTTAGAAGCTGCAAACTGTTATCTTTCTCCATTTTCATTAGTGATATTGTGTAGACTATGCATTCCTATTGTTGGCTTATATTCTTCTTTCCCGATTTTGGCATTAAAATCATCTGCTATGATCTTGATGTCATAACGAGGACATGAGATATAAACCTTCTCCAACTTTGCGTAGAATTCTTCCTTTGTGCTGTCTTCATCTTCTGATGACACGTGTACATTAATAATACTTATATTAAAAACGCTCCCACGCAGTCTTATTTTACGGCTACAGTTGTCTATTGTTTCCAAGTCCGTTATCGCACTATTATTTCTTGTTTTCATCAGGTTAGCGCAGCCAAACTCATGCTGATCTTTACTACCACTGTAATATAGCGTGTAGTCTTTTTTCTTAAGCATGCCCACTCCTATCCATTGTACTTCCTGAAGAGCCACTACATCAAAATTCTGTTTAAAGCCCTCTAGTCCATCAAAGGCTCCAGGTCTAAAGAGTCCTCACATTCCACGTAGCTAATTTCTAAACTTGAGATGTGTCCGTTTGACATTTGCCTGGTCATTGCCGTTGATCAGTCCATGATCCGAGGCTATTTTATTGTGCTTTCATACTAGATTTTTTTTATGTGGAAGGGATTGTAAGCCTCTTCGCGCAACCCTCCTCTTTCATCCGGGTTGGGAACTGACTGTGATTCTCAAAATGATTCTCACAGGCATAATTATTTATATATATATATATATATATATATATATATTGATGTAGAGATGGTTGACCGTTGATATAATATGAGAAGGAGTTAGTCGAGGGTGCGGTCAAATAAATTAAAATATATTAATTATTTTAATTTTTGCCGATGTTTCCACCCACTTTGCAGGTCGTCTTCAGGGCTACAAAAGATACAAAATAATAATAAGGTGTATAGTTGAAGGATAGGTGTGTTAAGAAAAGAATCACAATAAAAGTGAAAACATACCGTAGGATGTGGCACTGCGGGAGGCAGTTGAAACACTGGCAGTGTCAAAAAAAAGTTCTAGTAAAAATAAACGCATACATACATACACATACAAACACACACACACACACACACACACACCCACACACACACACACACACACACACAC